CGTGCGGGTACCTTCACTCATATTGGACACTTGTATACATATCACCACAGACTATTTTATTTTATTACCCCATAAGGCTATTTATAATTGCTATATTACTCACACGTTTGCGTAACAGCTCATCATATCTGTTAGGTAGGACATGACGTAACTGATACTTTTCCTGGTTCTGAGCGCCAGAGTTAGATATTGCCATAGCTAGACGCTGTTCTCCCATACTAGCTGCGGTCATCTGCGCATGGACACGTGCAATCTGCTCCATCTCATAATCTACAGCTCTACTCTCACTTACTATAGTTCCTCCCAATCCCATAGACTCCAACCACTTCCGTTTCTTTTCGATATCACTGTCTCCGCCATACCTAGCATCCTCAGGATCCCTATTCTCTTTACCAGTCATATCTATTCGGTATCTATGGAATGTGACTCCGAGAGTGCCTTAAAAGTATTTAACCAGTTCCCTGTGGCAATCCCCTTTGCGACATCAAACGATGTTTTCCAAGAATTATTACTGTAAGTGTTATTTACTCCAGTAGACCCTGTAGCTGATATCAGATCACTGCGGTTAATTTCGCTATAGAGGTTAGGATTTTCAGTAAGTGTACCGAACGGTCCCACTCCTGGGCGAAACACGTACGTATCTGAGTTGGGTGTATATCTTTCCTGCAACTTTGCGGCAATCGTACCTCCTAGCGAGTGCCCTGTGACATTAACGTTACCAGCACCGTACGTATCTATCAGTCCTGTGAGCGCTTTTTCAGCTTCCAAGTACCGCTGTGTCTGAAACACGTTCTTATTCCTCAATATCCTCCAATCAGCACGCAGATCCTTTGTATCTGTGATCTTTGTTCCACGAATACCTAAGAGAGCCTGACCCTCAAGACTGGTATAGACAGCAAGTGTAGTACTACTAAGCCCACGATTATATACGTAAGGACCAATAGACTCCACACGTTTGTCAGGATGTTTGTAGGCTGCTCTGGACGCAATACGAGACAACTCTCGTGTGTTTTGGGGTTTGTATACCTGTTCTGACTCTTCTTCTGTATCAACCTTACTTTGTTCAATATCAGTTTCCGTCTGGTCTTCCAGATCAAGTTTCTCTTCTGTTTCTTCACTCTCTTGCGATTGTTGCACCTGAGTTGAATAATCTTGTTGCCTGTCACTATATGTTTGGCTATACGACTGCTGTGCAGTAGCATACGTAACTGGATTCTTGTGCGTGTGATGTTTAACTATTTGTGGCGCTGTATTACCTGTACCCGCAACACCAAACAACAACTGACCCTTTGACGTAGTATACACTGCTATACTATCTGTGCTACGACGATTATCATACAAGTATAATCCTATTGCACGTCTACGCTTATGTTGTATTTTATTGGCTTCACGTGCAGCAATATAAGTAAGATCCCGTGGGGCTGGATACAACTTCATCCATTAAGTCTATATGTTATACAATTGACATTTTTTTATATGTGTGTATTTATTTATTTATCCTTTTTTTATATATCTTTGCACCATTCGAAGAATCGTCTGATCCCCTTCATATTT